GCCACGTCCTTGTGCATATCGATTTGTAAACAGCAATTCGTCTGCCTAAGATTATTTTATTCAAACTGTCGCCTAAATTTCAGATAGTAGGCTTTGCCTATATTATATTTACCAGAAGGTCCTTAATATAAGATCATGATATGCTTCTGTGAATAATGTTCACGTTTTCCTAACGCAGAGAACATCATCTGAGATGGAGGCCCGGGTTGATGACATAATACAGAGGAAACGCCCATCTGTCACAGCTGCAGCTACAGCCACATCCACGACATCGTCGCCCACGTTCTCGGTCTCCGCCCCTCCATCCGCCACTGAACCCGCCACTGAACATGCCACTGTAGTCCAAGATGGAACTTCTTTCCCGCGAGATCTTCAACTAGTTTTGAAAGATGGTGTGACTGTCTCTTAAATTTTTAATTAAAAAAAAAGTTATTTGTGTTCTTATTGATATGTTATTTTTCCAAACCACTGTCATAATGTTTGCGTTTAACAACCAACTGAATGAGGAATTGTTGAAAACGGTTAGATTCCATTTTCAACCAACCAAAAGCTGGTTACTTAATGACGTCATGCTGTCTCCATCTGCTGTATGTCTGCGATCAGTTTTGGTAACATGAGAACGTTGCATACTATGGAACAGAGACAGCTCGGCTTACTATGAGAGCGTACACATGACTATGGGAGAGTAGACTTTAGTTACAAACTATGGGAACCTTTCCCTTAGTTTGTTTAACTAATAGCTATTGCAGTTAACATGAAAGTGTACCCTTTTTGCGACTAACATCCACGTAACTTAGTTTTAAAAGTAGATAACGTGCAAAAACAAGTTTCTTTCTCATTCTTAAATCCAAAATTGAGTAGGACGAGAGACAAGGGATTTTAATCTATGCCTTTTGGATATAATACAAGTATTCATCAAACAGTAAAATACACTTGCTGAGGCATTTGAAATTTGTGTAAAAAGGAATTTCACAATAAGAAAAACCAATTATCAACGAAATAGGGTTAAATAATTAACATACTGTGAATAAGTATTGAACAACACACACTACACACATGAACTATTATGTATTACTCGTATTTCACTGTCATCCATTTTCCACCTTTTCCTATCTTTACAAGACCAATACTTGTGGGATATATATTCGGGATTTTACTCCAAACCTCCCAAACAGCTGCGTGGTAAACAATGTGTCATTGGCAACCATGGGCAAATCATACATTTCGGTGCTATATCATACGGAAAGTTTGTTTATATTTTGTGTTTTAATTTTCATAATAATTAAGTCACTAAATCTAGACCCAAATTTATGAATGTACTTTTTCGTATTTCAATATTTTTATTCCGAAAATTATACCGAACCCCCTGAACACAGTAGTTCATATCTGGTTTTCTTAAATGCCATTTGAGATCCTCTTTGAAGATTCATTATGGAAAAACACATTCGGAGTTTCACTTTTTCAGCCATGTTTGAGACATTACCTTTAATTGGATATTCTCATATCTATGCCTAGCATGGAAATTGTAATACGTATGCCTGGCACTTCAGACAGCTTTGAATAAGGGTCGCAGTTGTAATGGGACAGGAAGGATTCATATAACTGGTGTGCTCTATCGTTTCATTACAGAGCTATTTGGTATGGGAAACAAATCAAAATATGTTGACACATCCAGACCGAAGGGCGATTCAATAATGGGTATCAGTTGAACATTGATTCGGTGCATTGAGTAGCCTGGGCCCCGTTTCACAAAGCGATCGTAACGCTACGACTGTCGTCTATGTTAAAGTATGAGAGTTATAGTATGACCAGAAATTTTTGAGAATTTTAGGGATATGTTTAATTGGATTTCTAGTATAAACAACCTTGACCAGCTATCAAGTGCTTGGTTTCATTCAAGAGAGACAACTCCGTTTATCCTTTTTGATTAGTTTGTGAAGAGTTATCCCCCTTTGTTTACTTGCTAGCAGACGACATTTTCAGTGATCCTCAGTATGGATGATTTAGAGAAGAGGAAGTTGATTTTAGAGTATTATAACAAGGACATCAGATGAGCTAAAGTGAGTTCAAGTAGAACAGGCATCCCTTTGTCCACCGTTTATCGTGTTTTGAAAAATATTGCAAATGGATATAGCATTGAGCACCAGGGAGGCGCAGGTAGGCCCAGAAAATTGACTGTCGGTGACAGGAGGTGGCTTGGTATTCTTGTTTCTAAAAACAAACGAAGGAGTTTAGAAAACTTAAGGCTGGATATGATTGATAGAGGAACTGTGGCTGTCTGTAAGGAGACAATTAGAACTGAGCTGCATGCAATGGGTTGGCAGAAAAGTCGAGGAATTCCATCACCAATCATGAAACCTAAACAAAAGGAGCGAAGGTTGAACTGGTGCTTACAGCATAGAAATTTTAACTGGGACAATGTGATTTTCTCAGATGAAAGTTCTGTGTGGCTGTTTCCTAATACACTGACATTCTGGACCAAACGAATTGAAAACCTTTGTATCAGCGCCCAAAGTACAGTCCGAACTTTAACGTGTTGGGTGGCATATATGCGTTAGGGGCAACGCCCCTCTGTGTATTTGAAGGGAATATGAACAGTGAGTGATATTCTCGAGGGACATTTACTTCCATCTGCTCACGTGTTCTATCGAAATGTTTGGATTTTCCAGCAAGACAACGACCCAAAACATCGTTCAAAGAATTCACAGGTCTGGTTCCGACCCAAAATATGACATTATTAGATTGGCCAAGCTATAGCCCTGACCTAAATCCAATAGAAAATGTTTGGGGACTTATGAAGGAAAGTGTCAATAAGAAAAATCTGACAAATATTGCTGAAATGAAAGAAGAGGTGGTCCGATATTGGGACAGCATGGACCACGACTTTCTAACTTCTTTGATCAGTAGTATGCCCCTCCGCATTTAAGCCTGCATTGCTGCCCATGGTGACTTGACAAAATACTAACTGTTCACCTGTCTTTGAATCTGGAGTTATGTTCTGCTAATATTCACATTTAATACGTGAGTAATGAGTGAAAAAAAAAAAAAAATTACAATCTTTAAATTCTCAATAATTTCTGGTTGTACTGTACGACCTTAGCGCTACGGTCGCTTTGTGAAATGGGGCCCCGGTTGGAAAAATCGTCGGATCAAAACCATTGTTCGATTCCCGGCATGGATGATTGTGAAAACACTTATGTTGTCAACCAAACGTTATGTTTTGTGAGAATTTGCATTTATAGCTAAGATGCAAAAAAAAAAATTAAACATAATTAAAACACAGTTATCATTTATTCATGACATATAATATACATTGCTGGTTATGAAACAAAACAAATAAACAAAATTATAAGCGTACAAAATCGCAAATCAAAAGTGCAATTTTTTGTACTTGGGTTTACTTCCCTCGAAACGAAGGAATACCGGGATACCGAACCCAGTTAGAGCGTTTATAGTCCGTTTGGCTCAAAAGCGGACCGATGAATTGCAATCTAACTCGAAAACTAATAAGCATATAAAACTCATTGAATCGCTGACCATAATCAAAACATCAGACCAAGTCTGTGATAAATATTTACACAGTTCACTATTTGTTACGAAGGAGGAATGCGAAGAGAGGAACAGCCAGGTGTGCGACAAAGGATGGAGACGGCACAGCACAGATAAATGAATCCATAACTGTGTCGGCACTTGTGCACGTGCTTCACGTACAACTAGCTGATCCTCTCTTTGTACTCCTCCCTCGTAACAAATAGTGAACTGTGTCAAAAGTTTAATGATAGTTTGTTAAACAATTTTTCATATTTTTAGGGCATACATTTTGAAACAAAATCACAGAGTTGGTCTGATGTTTTGATTATGATGAGCGTTTCATTGAGTATTATATGTTTATTAGTTTTTTAGTTAGATTGCAATTCATCGGTCCGCTTTTGAGCCAATCGGACTATAAGTGTAACGAAGTCTTTCATTGGCTGGTTTATTTGCCTATACACTCAGGGCTCTTTGTGTGTGTATAGAGATGTGGATTTTGTAACATCCTGGTTCCCGGGCCTCTCATTAGTTAATATAGAGCTCTATATTAACTAATGAGAGGCCCGGGAACCAGGATGGATTTTGTAAATATACATTTGTGTATAACATTTTGCAATCAACAAACATCATAACATGTCATGTGTACAAGTATGACACCTGCCTGTCTGTGTAATAACCTAATGTGACAGAGACAGAACTTAGGTGCACGAGTATTTTGTTCATGGTGTATAGCCTGTTAGGTGTTAAGTTCAAATTGCATGTGATCGAAGTTGTGTATTGCATATTGTCATTAGCAGACTGGCAGGCAGACACATAGGTGTCAATAAAGCAGACATTGAGTTTTGTCTGTGACAACGACATATCTATATCACAGTTAGAAATTCGGACAATGCTAAATAATGACGTTGCTGTTAAGTATCGAACTTAGAAAGAGACTCGGTAAGAAGAACGTGTGGTGAAATAGTCAAATGAAATTATATAAACAGTTAAATCGGTAATCTACTGTCATAACATATAAAAAACTCGCGCCTGTGAAATATCAACAAAAGTCAAAACACTAGAAAAATAGCTCACATCAAAGCCCACTCCGAGTACTCATCCGCCAGCGAAGTTTTTCTGTGTTGAAATGTCGAACAAGGTTCTTTTAAGTAACGAGTAGATTATTTACTATTTGTTGTTTGTGTACACAACCAAGATTAGGCTACTCCTGCTCACGACCTTATAATCCGGGCATCCCGCTTCAAGCTTCACGAACCTATTCACTGCGCATGCGCTATGAGCGCAGCGCAGCACAGCTGTTGAAACCACATTTCACCCCAGCTGGGGTGATTTTAGTGAATCGTTTGAACTCCGATTTCGCGGGGTTTTTTCATCGCGTTATTTTTCAACTTTATAAGTTGAATTGCATTTTTGATAATTTGTTTCTGTAAGTCCATACCGAAAGGTATCAGAATCTGCAAAGTTGTTTTGCGTTGCATGTAAGCTTTAGGTTCTACTAACCCACTGTAAATAAATTATTCGGAATATATGCCATAAGGGAATTCAGTCCCTAGATATATAAATCAAACTGTCCAAGCGCACTAAGTGTCGTGTATGACTTCATTACGTGCAAACTCTCTCTGCAGGATAATTGGAAACCATGAGCAATTCAATATAAAGAAACATGTATTTTGTCGCAAAATGTGTCAAAGTGGAATCTATATACCTCGGTTGCAGAATATGGTGAATGGAAATTCCACACAAATATCAGTTCCAGCATGACTCTTGATGTGGCATAGGATGATGCTAATATTCTGTTTAACCAATCTAAACTTCTAAACCGATTAACACTTTTTCTGTATGTTTCAGCATGATGCAAGTCGATAACAGCGCGGGAGCAGACGCCTTTAACCTGACTGCCGTATTAAGCATAATACAGCAGCTCTCTCCGGCAGATCGACAGATGCTGTTTGAACAAGCAGGCATTGACGGAGAGTACGAGCTCGAACGGCTTCTAAACGGCGACAATATGTATGTTACAAGCTTCGAGGAGCCTGTCATGCAGTATCAGGAGTACAGAATAAACAAGTTGCTGTTGTTATATGTGCCACCCATTCTTATTATTATTGGAACATTTGGCAACTTGTTTTCTTTCGTTGTGTTACGTCGTCGACCAATGTTAAAAGTGTCCACTTATTTTTACCTTGCTTCCCTTGCCATAGCAGATTCTTTAGTGCTGTACATTGGGTTGTTGAGGTTGTGGATTGGGGAACTGACTGGTGTGGATATCCAGGTACAGGCTAACTGGCTGTGCAAACTTACAGTTATTTTGGGCTACGTGTCCAGCGACACTTCAGTATGGCTCATCATGGCAGTAACGGTGGAGCGCTTTATCGTTGTATGCTATCCATTTAAGGCAACTGAAATGTGCAACGTTCCCCGCGCACGCTGGGTAATTTTTGTTCTTATATGCCTCATGTTTGCCATAAATTTACACTTTTTATGGACAGTTGAATTAATAGAGACACCAGTGGATGGAAAGAACATTGCTAATTGTGATGCAGTAGACAACCACACTGTGTTGGTGGATGAGGTATGGCCATGGGTGGACGGAATAATTTACTCATTTCTGCCGTTTGTTACCATCCTGGTATTGAATATTCTGATTATTCGACAAGTTCTCAATGCGCGAGGCAGTCGAGAGCGGATGAGGAGCATGACGGAAAGAAGGAAGCTTGAAGGAGGGAAGAAACAACCAGGAGAGGGAAGTACCAAACTGACCGTTATGTTGCTTACAGTCTCCTTCAACTTCCTCATCACCACGTTACCCATGAACGTTTCAATGATTGTTCTCGCATTCCGCAGAGATAACAATGATATGCATGAAACTGTTCAATTCAATCTTGCAAAGACAGTTACAGAATTGTTAATGTATGTTAACCATTCCATAAATTTCTTTCTATATTGTGCCACAGGACAAAAGTTTCGACAACAAGTACTTCAGCTGATATGTCATAAAGACCCGTCACCGTCATGGACGTCGGTGACAGAAGACACAAATACAACACCGTTTGGTAGAAATACGCGGGAACTTTTGTTGAATCACAAGGTTGAATGTAGTCCCCTCAACTGTGGTAGGAGAGTCACGAAGACTCGACTCTAAATACATTTTATGTGCGTGAAATGTGCACTGAAGGCTGAACGTTACTTTAACGTGAACAACGAATGTTCTTAGTTTAAATAATGGACGATTCAATGTGTGCTTAAAAGATGTTAAAGTAGCATGTCGTGATTAGGAAAGTCCATTGTTGTCAGTTTCCTTTCTTCAGCCAACAGATAAATAGGTTGTCATGCGAGTTGTGTTTTGGAATGGTAAGTATCACAAGGAGTTAACGTTATATTTTACAAACCTTAGTGAGCTAAATACATGGTGGATGTTGCCTATGCAAGATATTTACCATCCCCGAAACAAGCGCGTAGAGGTCTGAACATTAATTCTTATTCTTTAATTCTCTGGGCTGAAAACCTGTTCTAATCACTCACAGATATTAACTAAACATTGCATGTCTTCGTGGAATGTGTTTTTCGCCAGGGGATCATTATTGTGTTAGATGGACAGGAACAACAGACAATAGTTCCAACTGAAACTAACTGAAAATAACAAACCTGTACACAATTTCTCTCTGTCTTTCGTGGCAGAATGTCTGTCAGCACTCTAGAGTAACTGCCTAACGAAACCCTACTGAGGGACGTTATGTTATGATTCTGGGGCCTACCCGTCATCTAATACTGCCAACAAGTTTGTGGCTCCTTTTAGTAGCTTTTGTATTAAATAAATAATTGCATGACAAACCTTTGTCATACTTTTGTTTCTCGGTTCGAGGTATTACACTTGATTGCATAACTAGCAACATTATAAAGGAATACGAAAGAAAAATACAATTTTTTCGTAAATCGTTCCTTGTGTTTTTATGCCCTAAAAGTCTTCTTACGCCATTCTTAAACGTCACTGAAGTTGAGTTTACTGCAGAACTGTTTTTCGTACAATAGCGCAAACACGGCATTCTGTTTAACAATGGATTTAAACAGGCAATATGTGTTGGCGTGTATATTGTTTCAGTTAAGACAGTGTAGTGTGATATGTGTACACTTATTGAAAACTTTCACCTTGTCTTTTGTGCCATGTATTAGTTTACGAGTACGACAGTAAATATGAAAATAATTATAGTATCAGTCGTTAAGTTTTGCCTGCATTCAAGTCCTAATTTGTGACTTGGTAGACTGTTATGGGGCCCCTTTTGGTGGAACATTCTTGTTCTGTGCACGTTCCCGCACATGTCTTTGTCTGATGTCTTTGTCGGTATCATGAAAAGTATGAAATGTTTCACAACAGTTACTATTAAATTATGTTGAGCAACATATTTAACCAAATAGTTCATTTTTGCTATTGTTATTGATGCATGGGGTGGACAATGATCGGATGCAAGAAGCGCAACAACAGTTTAAGGGTTTTAAAGTAATACCCACATAACACTTTTTGCTAAAGTTCATAATATGGACACTCAAATCATAAAACATATATCTACAAAGACAAATATAAATTCCGGAGTGAAAAAACAAAAGTCACGTATCTAACTTCTTAATGGAACAAGAGACAAGCAAACTTTTTCAATTATAACAGAGTGAGAGGCAAAGGCACAAGTGCAAGGGCAAGTCGAGCATTCGTATTAACATGTCATCCGCACGCTACGCGGGTTTTGTCACTGCTTGCGGGCCTGGGCACAATGGCTGTAAGTCGTAGTTTTTGTGTGAGTGAGTAAATATTGGTCAATGCTGCATCAGCAATGTTGCAGCTGTCATGTATTTAACTTCACGTTAATGAACACAATGATTATGAATGGTGTGGATTTATTCATATCTCAGTCAAATACCAAATCCAAGGGTAAAAACGGACTTTTGAGATAAAAATCTACATTTTGTCATAAAATCTGATTTGTTTTAAATATGCTAAAATCAGGTGGTTAGAAACACTGTTCTGAAAAGTTAAGATAAAGCATGAATATTGTCATAAAATCTTGCCTGATAAGCTTGAAAAGATCATACTTTTAGGGATCATTTCTATAGTATGCATCGCCATGACTTCAGGTAAAACTGACAGTCTACCAAACCAAAATATGCTAGATAGCTAGAGTGTTGTGAAGGATGCAAATGGGAGGATCTTCACATTTCAATAAAAATGAATGTGCGTAAAGACTGTGTCCAGTGCGGGACCACTGTAACACAACTTCATCATGGCGAGATAAACCAGAGGGTGAGCTCCAATCAGCGGCTTGAAGGTATGAATCTTGGTATGCTCATGATCAGCTTTTATAATATTTAATTAGAGGATCGAGGATCGGAATAGGCGAAATTTGTGCTCGAAATAGACTTATTGAGAGCCGGATTGCGCCCATACTTCGCCTTTACATTTTCTACTGAAGCCACCATTACTGGGCAGCCAACAATATATATATTTTTTCAACCAGGGATAAACTGTGGTGATGCTTTAAATATATACTGAGTCAAAAAAGAAACTTCACATTCTTTCTTCAGGGCACTATAAAAGAACAAGAGATGGTAAGATGGTTAAATTGCTATTATTTCATTGCTGAGATCTGTGTGATGTACTCGATACACTGACAGTGCCATAATCAGTTCCATTAGGCTACACCGCCGTTCCAAAACATGGGTATACAGAATGTCAAGTCACAATATGGACGTCGAGAATGGAGATTGGCAGCCCGCAACCGATTTCGAATGGTCTGTGAGGACAGTCGACCTCTAAACATCTCAGCCCTGGTTCGTGTAGCCGGCAGAAATCTGTCACGTAGGTGACGTAGGACGATTTGACGGTCTTCTGCTCGTGACGTCACACGTGGACGACCCGACCTTGGGCGATCAGAAGTGGTGCCAGTTTGTTGTAGACGACCTCGCAAGTCATACACAGTACGAAGGCTGCATCCCATTGCTCTTGCAACGTCAATAACTGATCTTCCCGCTTGCAAGATGCCAACGACACGTTCACGTTGCACATTTGACAATCGTGGCATTTCAAGTACCGTTAGAACTGTGGTTTAAAAGTGTTTTTTCAATTCTTGAGGCCAATGCAAACACGTGCATATGAAGAAAACTTCGATGCGAAGATCACGTGATCGACTGCACGTGCAAAACCTTATTTGGCACTAACATCATTTGCACGACGAATGGATGGGTTTGAGTGGGTTTTGCTAACGTTTTTCTAGAGTCGAAAGATAGGGATCCCATTTCGGATACATAGATGTATCATCAGAAAACAATTATTTATTATTTCGCAAATTACATTTTGTGAAGTTTCTTTTTTGACTCAGTATATAAACAATATGATGAAGCTGCTTCTTGAGGTCGTTTCATTACATTGCGAAGCTATACTATGGCCTGAGCTTCCATCTGTTAGTCACAACATAGTACAGTTGGTATTAACAGCTGCAGCTGATACCTTCTTACCATCGTTTGATCAATCTGTGTAAATACTGGCATGACAGGGGTATTAGTCTAAACGGTTGTTGGTAAAACAGTTCATTAGTTTCAGACTTCATTAGTTTCGCTAAATCTGAATTAACGTCAGGTTGTATATACTGTGATGGTGGCGTTGCTGTTATTGTATATTCGGCTATAACAGACAGATTTAAATGGGCAGATTTTATGTTGGATTCCCAAATGACCAATGTTGGAATTGTGTTTGGTTTCCTGTCATATAAGGTGATATAAAGGATTGAATACATTGTTAAATGCTGGAAGTTTAGTGAGATATTGGAAAACTAGTTTTATTCGTTTTAAAATAAGACATGGTCCATTTACCTCAACATATAGATTGTCAATGGGCGAGGTCAATTATCAATTATCAACAGTTTAGTACCTTGAAAAATGAAATCCATTGTGTTTTCGTAGAGTTGTGCCATTTTTATGAACACTATAAAAATTGACCAACTTCCAAGGGCAATAACTCCGACACTATTCAAGATATTGACATGCCTTGAACAAACTAAGTAGTCCGGAGTGTGGGCTTTATGTAAAACGATATATAGAACACTATTGTACTATTTGCTGTTCAGGAGAAGAAGATTGTTAAACACAGGCACCGTCAAAACGTGCGGAAATGTGAAAAATCGCGAAGTTTGTATTTGTGTCGTAATGGTGACGTAATTATTGATTTTTACATAACCATAATGTGAAGCAGAAATGTTTCCCATTCAATTATCTACAGAGTGGTACTTTGGAAAATGGTATCCATTGTGTTTTCGCAGAGTTTGACATATGTTTGAACCCTATGAAAATGCGTCTTGGAAAAATCCACCAACTTCCAAGGGCGATAACTCCTAAAGCATTCAAGATATCGATATTCCTTGTGCAAATTTTGTGGTCGGGAGTGTGCGCTTTACAAAGCGTATCGAACACGATTGTACTATTTGCCGTTCTGGAGACGACTGACTGACTGACTGAGTTTAGTTTTACGCCGCTTTTAGCAATATTCCAGCAATATCACGGCGGGGGACACCAGAAATGGGCTTAACACATTGTGCCCATGTGGGGAATCGAACCCGGGTCTTTGGCGTGACGTTCTGGAGACGAAGATTTTCAAAGACAGGCACCGTCAAAACGTGAAAATCGGCAAAAAAGCAATTTTTTACGGAAGTCTATTAGGGCCACTGATATTTTTTTATTATCTTGAAAATTCAAGATATTAAGTCGAAAATTCAAGATGCTATCTTGAAAATTCAAGAAATTAAGTTGAAAATTCAAGATATTAAGTTGAAAATTCAAGATACTATCTTGAAAATTCAAGAAATTAAGTTGAAAATTCAAGATATTAAGTTGAAAATTCAAGATATGAACTATAAACTTCAACTAAAGCTGTTCAGTATGACAGTTCAAGCAATCGGAGGGAAACAGAAGGTATGGAGCGGGAGAGATATATTTCCATATATTTCTCACTTGGATTATTAAACAAGGAAATTCTTTACCTACTTGCTCAAGACCACGGGATTGTTCTTAGTATTAGGACGCTTAAACGCATAACATCTAAGCTGAAATTATATAGAAGGAAAGAACATTCAGATATACTCAATGTTGCTCTCTTTCTGTTGAGAGTGAGCGAAACCTCCACTGGAAAGGGACAAGGTTACAGATGGTTGCACAGAAAGTGTCAGGAAGAAGGTTTAGTTGTATCAAAGGAGACAGTAAGAATAATATTGTGTTTGATTGACCCTGAGGGTGTGAAGCGGCGTAGCAGATGTCGACTCAAGCGCCGTGTCTACAGTTCTGCTTGCCCCAATGCGGTGTGGCACATGGATGGATATGACAAGCTTGAACCCCTTGGAATTTGTATCCATGGATGCATAGATGGATTTTCAAGAAACATTTTGTGGCTGGAAGCATGGACACAAACAATGATCCAAAGGTAATCGCAGGGTACTTTGTGGAGACCGTGAAGAGACTGCACGGATGTCCAGAACGGATACGCTCTGATGCTGGAACAGAAAACAGATCAGTAGAACAGATGCAATATCTGCTACGGGATGAACATATCGACAGATGCTCTGGAAACATAGCTTCTTGTACGGATCTAGTGTAACCAATCAAGGCATTGAGTCGTGGTGGGGGATTCTCAGGAAACAGTGCATACAACATTGGATGGATCTGTTTAACCATTTGAAAGAGGACGGCTACTACACTGGAGATTTCGTTGACAAGAATCTAGTTCAGTTTTGCTTCCTAGAAGTAATACAGGCAAGTATTTTGACACTTTACAATTCAGTTACATAAATAATCTAAACAACTGAATGCATATGGTAATGAAAGGTTAAGAATGTACACAGTTTGTTTGATTTGTTGCTTCATAAGTTGATACAAAAAATTTCGAGCAAGAATGCTACACTTTTGAAAAAGTTTCAACTTTGATGTCAAACATGCTCAAATTTTCAAACATGATTAGTAAATTTGTAATTGTTTTTCTATTCTCCAGAAATAAAAAACAGAGTGTCACAAACATGGAATTTTCACAGTATCCGGGCAAGTAAGACCAATCCAGGTCCCTATGGGAAACCTGCTGTGATGTTCTCACTCCTCCGTTTATATGGCGCCGAAGATCACCTGAAATCTGTCAGTGGAGAAGCCCTCACACACTGTGAAGGAGAGTGTACTATGCGAGGTGAACAGCGCTGTGATCCTACTGTACATGACATATGCACCCTTATCATGGAGGAAATGCAGTGCCCGTTTCCAGAGGAGAGGGAAGATCTAAGTGATCTGTATCTGGCATTGAGGAGAGAAATTAGAAGCGAACTATTTTAGTTTTTACTGTTCATGCGATTATAAACAGAAAATAAATCCTCAATTTTTCAAAAAAAATTACTTGTTCTATTTTGTTGTGAAATGCAAGTAGTATGAAAACTACAGACATATCTGATGCAGTGAGTGATCCCCTCATTTTAACAAGACTTCTGCTGTAAAATCACCTATGTATGTTAAGCATGTCATCTTGATGTCCTCAGATATGAAACACTTTTTCATCAAAACGAAGCAGTGTATATTACCACATATTTGGTTCAATCAGAGACCATATAATAGATATATAATTACTTGCTTGCCATCAGCTGTCTTCATCGATTCCGAAAGAAAGTGAAAGAGCGTTTGAATGATGCGATCTAACAAACACATGTTGAAGATGTGAATAAGTCTTCATGAATAATGATGTGATGGCTGCTGACTTCTTCTATATAGGTGTGCATGCTTGAAATACAATCTTCCTGTATGCACATCTGATGATACCTGCTTCAAATTACCTCTCGGTCATTTGTTTTAAACCTATTTCATTTCAAGAGAAATAAATTTTGCAATTTGGATCAGATCTTGACCAACTATTGAACCTGACTGAGACGCATCCATCATAGGGTCGCAAATGATCAAATTCAATATGTAATAAATTACATGAGAAGAAGTTATGGAAATTAAAATCCAACGTATAATTCACTTTATGGACATTTAAAATATCAGTTTACGAATTTATTTTA